AAATTTCTGTGTGCGGAAGTAAATCGGTTGATACAAACATTTGTTAGATTTTTCAACATGAGAATATTGCAGTGTTGAAAAATAAGGAAAGTATCGAAAGTTTTCTTAATAATTTTTTTTTTTAGAAATAACTCGTTTCTAAATTTAAGGTATTTTAATAAAAATTATATCTGACTTTTAATCGTTTTTTACACACAATATATAATGCATACGTACTATTCATTAATCATAATATTCTTCAAAATGAAATCTGAAACTAAAAGCGGATCAAGTATTATAATTCATTAAATTAAATCAAAAATAGTCCCATGTTACAGAATAATTATCAAGTTGAAATTGTATTGAATCGATGAGGAAAAGTTTCGACTATCTTTAATCTTAATAATACAATTTTAAATGATAAGCAGTATACCACTGTTCACGATAAATTCATTCTATAAGAATAACATTTTGTATTTACAAAATATTCTATATTTTTACCGAGTTCGTGAAACACTTCATCGTCTCAGTTCATTTAAATCTGAACAACTCAATGATCAGAAATATTGTTAAAATCACATTTTTCACATTACACGAGTAAAGTCATGAAATTAACGAGAAGGCGTTGGAGAAGTCAAATTGTCGAGTCCCAAAGGGCGACGCATCGGTTAGCAAGCGGACAGTTTGAGTACGTGTTTGCAATCGTGATATTTTGTCCAATTACGCCTATCGAATGACACGGTATGGCGGCAGATAGTGGCCGAAGATAGCCTTCGATCGTGGAACGATATCGTCTCCTCATAAGCCGTTGATGGCTCGCCGCTGCGTTGCAAATTGATTGGCGTTTTCATGAATAGTGGGCCGCGTTTCACGCGTTTCGATCGATGCGCTTTTATGGAATGGCGTTCATAATGAAGGAACTAGTTCTCGTAATTATGCGTAGATTCACGTGGAAACACGGGAATCGATGTTGATCGAGAGCTGGGTATCGATAATTCAATGGAGGTTGAATAAAAGAGAATGAAATTTATCTGTTGAAAGTGTTGGAAGTGTTGAAAAAGTGTTGAATTTGACGAGTGTTACGATTTTTTATAATTATCGTGATGCTGAGAGTATATGTCGTGAAGAATGAGTTTAAAACGTTTCAATTGTCTATATTTTTATTTTAATCGATTCTTCAGAGTGTTGGAAATTATTGGTTGAATAGAACTTGTTTCGCTGTTCTCTGCAAAAGAAATTTAATTTTCCTCTAAAATAGATACGAATAAATACCACGAAAAATTGAAAAAGAAACAATAAATTATTAAAAATAATAATTTCTACTATTAACGAATTTTTCCATCAAATTCAGACTCCAATTCAATTTAAATTGTAGGAAATTCTCATTATCAAAAAGGCATAAAAAAGATTTAATCCTATATTTCATCCCCCCCTACGAAACTCTATTTCAACGAGTTCTCACTCGCAAAAAAAAGTTAAACAGAATTTCGCAACAATAGTTCCCTTCGAATTACATTAATCTCCACGACCCCGCTAATGGCCGGTTGAACAGGCCAGATCATATAATGCAACGGTGGATTTTTATCCAGGGCCCAGGGAACGATTCGAGGCATACATATTTATCAGTGACAGTTTATACGGTGGAGTTAGGGCGAGGCGTAAGCTTCGAAAGCCTCGTCTGAGCGTCTGAAGCCGAGTATGCCTCGAGGGCAATGAAAATTTAAATTAGAGCAGAAATTAAATCCGGCCTTTATCCGATATTGAGAAAATCCTTTGGAACGGACAGATTGTCTGACGTCCCTCTATCCTGTACATCTTTGCCCATTGCTCCCTCTCTCTCTCTCTCTCTCTCTCTCTCTTCTTTTCTATATATTGCAAGCGAGACTATAGTACGAGGCTTGCAGAAAGAAAAGAGGCAAGAAATAACGTGGAGGAAGAGAGAGAGAGAGAGAGAGAGAGAATGAAAGGTCGTGCCTATCACACCCTTCATAATTAGTAATTAAGAAAGTAATTAGCATCGATCGAGACGACCTCTGCGCCAAGGAGGCTCTCGAGCGGAACTGATATTTTTAGAGCAGCGCGCCACGACAAGCGGAGGATCGATTATTTACTATGCTCAACGATCAAACGTTTCCTCCTTCTGGCGAAGAATAAACTTGGTAAACTTCCGTTGCGTCACGAGGGGTATCGATTCGTTGGATTTTATTGATTAAGGCCGGGAAGGAATGCCGCGCCTCGACTTATCGACAGGAGTGTCGACCTTCTATAGCCTCGAGTTGACTTTTTGAACCGGAGGACTTCCGGTAATGCGAGCAGAACGCTCGTTTCGCAAGGCATATCGATCGAATTCTATTCAATTTGGCGAAATTGCGATACTTGCGAAGCGAAACTTTCGCTTGATATTGATTGAAAATTGATATTTATTAATTCTTTGAACGAGAATTTTTAACATTATCGAACCATTTTGAATAGTAAAGAACGGTTTCGTTACTATTGTTATATTAATAGATGTTCTCGAGATCGCAATTTCTGAAACCAATTTAGCTAAGGGAATTCTGGAACAGCCTGTTTTCCCGACGCAGCACAAATTTCAATTGCTGTACGAAGCAACGTTTCCTAATTCGAACTTCAAAAGCAAGTGATACATCGAATACGTTCTTCAATGTAATCTTGTATTTCTAACAAGATAATAATTTACGGATAATTATTCGTATTCGATTGCAAAAACGAGATATTACAGATTATTATTAAATTTGAAGATTATGATTTAATCTACCGTTATGAATATCTTGCTTTCTCAATATTCAATAACGTTTTAATTGTTTATCGATAAATTTTATCGATGATGTATACAATATATCGAAATATTTTATATTTATTTGATTAATCATTAAAATAATTCTCCATTCATAATAATGTGTTAATAATGTGTAATATTAGATTACCAATGACTAAATTTTTTAATAAAAGCATTTAATAATTTAAAAATCCTTTAAAAATAATTTCGTAAATTGATATTTATTTGTTTAGAAATATTCTAAAATTGTTGGGAATTGTTTTTGTTATTATATGTAAATATATGCGTAATGAAACGAATTGAAATGAGTTATGGTCGTCGCTATTTTGTTAATGAACAATCAATGAATGAATTATGAATAAATTTCCAGTAATATTTCATAACATAAGGGTATGGTTGTTTTTCAAAATCAATATTTTTATTTGAAATGAAAACAACAAAACAGGGGGGATAGATTTTCATCATTTCAAATTTTACCATTGATTATTTTCAAAATATAACAATTCGTTGTTGTAACCCACATTTGTTACATTATATAAAATTATTATAAACTGTCCATTGTCGAATGTATTTTATAAAAATAAATATTAAATGTACCAGATTCTCAACAATATTGAGAATTAAAAAAGTTTTCACGAAAGTGCTTTTCAATTCGTCAAATTCAGCTAAAATTTTCAAAAGGATATACAAAAACAAAAAAAAAAAAAACCAATTCAGCTTAATAGAAATGTCAAAGAAAATTTTTTATTTTCTCTATATGAATTTTTCCTTCGTATTTTATTTTATTAAAAAGTATTATAACAATTATGATATTAAACAATTTTTAAATTAAATTTTTCCTTCAAACACGAAATAAAACTAAAAATAATTTTTAACGCATTATTACATAAGAACATAAATTTAAAGATAAAGTTTACATTCGTGTCTGATAATATCACACAGTTTCGAGGGGAATATTTTATACGTTTTGACGTGCGTGTCGGTATATGAATGTCAGAATTGAATACGAGTAAAGTGAATATAAACTTCGTACAAGTTTCGACACAACAAAGAAGAATCGTTTTAGTCGTTTGCTTTTTTTTTTTTTTTTTTTCATTGCATCGAAAAAGCGATATCGTGTGCGAAGCTGCGCTACCTGTATCCATTCGACTATCGATTGTCGAATTGAGAACTATCCGGAAACGACGATTCAACTCTTGAATACATTTCACACGAGAGTTTCGCGATACGAGCCAGATATACACTGTATCCATGAATAATTACGTTTTGATTGCCAGCCAGCAGCCAGTTTCGTAATAATTAATCGTTGAAATCATGTGTAATAGAATACTTTGACTAACTTTTTATTTTTACTTCGTTTTTGAAACACGAAAGGTATGTTTGGAATTGCGATTCAATTGATGGACAATTATAATGGAAAATTGAAAAAGTCTTGTAAGATTTAATATGCAATTCCGTATAAATTTTGGAAATACGTTTCCTGATATAAATATTTTATTTTAAACAAAATGAAATTTTTTGGCTAAGCGATAATATTATGAATAGACGGATATATTAAAACGTTGTATCAAAACATTAATCTTAATGTTAATTATAAATTAATATTATATAAATTAATCTTAAATCTTGCATGAAAATGTATTAACGATTCCCGTAACTAATATTTCATAGGCGAAAGGAAAATGTGATATTGGCACCTCATCAATTCGAAACCAATTTAGTAATGTATTAAATTATTTGCCATTAATTTACTGAATACATCGTGTGAATCGAATTTAGATCTCATTTTATAGCGAAAATTATGAATCCCTGGCGTGAAATTAACAATTCTCCGTGACTGAATCATTATGTCCAACGTAATTAATGAAAATGTCAATCGATTCATTAGCAAAATCCGTTATCTGATGTACGTAATAATAACACTTTCACACCTGTACTTTTTATAAGTATAATTAATCGTTTATCTTTCGGTGTCATAATGATTCGAGTATAACATTGCTATTAATTGTTTCGAAAATTGATAGGGAGAATTCCATATTTTGAGGGAATGGAATTTTACAATTATCTTATAAATCTTGCAAAATAATATTTCAACTTTTCAAAGGTTTCAACGATATAATGATTAAAGAATACGTGAATTTATTTTTATAAAATAAAATAGTCTCAGTTTTCAAAATTATATTTTCACAAAATTAGAAAAAGAAAATTAATAATCAAAACTCACCGCTCTCTCCATTGTAGTTTATATTTTTCCCATCCTCTCTGCGCCACATGACGTAAGGTTCCGGATATCCTGAAGCTTTACATGTCAATGTCACGTTTGAACCTTCGCGGACAACCATGTCTGTGCTCGTTTCCTTCGTGATAATGGAAGGTGGCACTGCGAACAAAAAGAACACGCGAAGTCGAATGAATAATCGCCTTTCATATTCTTCTGCAAACTTTACTTTTAAGCAATGCATTAATCAGATCAATGATAATTTAATAAGTTTACTTTTCAATTTCAAGTTATTTATTTCTCTTTGTTCAGTTGATTCAGGAAATTCTAATAAGTAATGTTACTTAAATGATAAATTCTTCATCTATTCTATATCCAGTCTGTAATATTAATGATAAACTTTGCGAAGCGAGAATTTGCCTAATGGAGCGAGCAAAATCTAAATTTTGCTGTTAATTATACATACATATCGCTTCTAGAATAAACTCGACCAAAATTGATAACAATAACCGAAATCGATATCATTCTTGTTGAGTTTCGATATTTAATCCAGATAAGAGAAATACGAATTATTATTATTCATCGTCGTTATTGCTGTTTACTATTAATCGCTGCTAATTCTGTTAAATTTAAATAATTGGATTATATTAATAATCAAACAATATTCGAAACGTCAAATACAGAAAATTATATTTTTCAATATTTCTGGTAATTTTTATTTTTGAATAACAATTGAAAATTATTGGAATAATTTTTGAAATTTTATTTCATAAAACTTTACTGTAATTAATAATTAAATTTTTATTTCGATATTTTTTTAATATAAATGATATATAAGTAGTTGAATGTTTCGCAAACTATATTATTTTTGAAAAAACGATTCATCCGTATTTCTAAATTGTATTTCTATAATTAAAAAGGAATATAATCGAAAAAAGTTTATTTTAATAAGGAAAATTAAACGTACTCCAAGCACTGAATACAGCAAAGACAATTTTCGAAACTTGGATAACTTTCCAAATTTCCAAATTTATCTTTTTTTATGGTAATATAAAAAAATAGCATTCCTAATACCCTTTAACTTGAGGTTAGTTTCTCGCTAATCTTGTGGAAGCTTAAGTACTTTGCTTGTTGATTGAATATCGGAAGCCTGATGACTCCTAACCCAGTTTAACAACTAACTGGAAACCTAATTGCTTCAAAGACTAACTGAATCGAGCTGACTAATGCCGGTCCCTTAATTGCTTTTACGGTGTTTAAACGTTACGTTTCTGACAAATTCTTAATTACTTCCATATATCATTTTTTTTTTCACAAATAATACACGTTCTTTAATATAACATAAATTATCCAACGTTCTTACGTTATAAATATTATTCAAAATCATTCTTTCGAAATTCGTGAAAATTTTCTATTTATATGAAAAAGAAGAAGGAACAAAAATCTTCCAGCAATAGATCTTAGGCTCTGTTGTTTCTTTTTGTATATATCTACTTTGAAATAGAATTTTTTTTTTAACGAAACAAACGATATCTCACATATAAACGTGCTTACCTACAACCTGCAAATAACCCTGTCGACTTCTCATCGGGTCTGTGTTCACCTGACACATGTACCATCCACGATCCACTTCTTCAACTTTTTTTATGTGAAGATACCATGTACGGTGATCGTTATACGACAACGAGATCCGTGGATTTTGCGTGATGACATTATGGTGGATGGATAAGATAGTCTGCGTATCGACGCGCACCCATGCCACCTAGAACAAACATATATGAATATATATACAAAGTTTGCATAAGATAAACTATCGGTGTGGATAAATTATCAATGGAAAATTCCTTACTGTTATAGCGAATAAAGATACGCAATTTATTATCCATTTAATGATATAATAAAATTATTAAAATATTGTTTTTATTAAATATTATATGTTTACAAATAATTAGTAAATCGTAGTGTTAATTATTTGTAAAATTAAAATTAATATTAATAAATTAAAAATTTTAATTACTTTGTATAAACTTTAATGTAGTAAAGAATGAAATCAATATCTCATTAATGATCATTTAATATTGTAATATTTATAGAGAGTAGTATAATAAATATCCTGACATTTTTGCGAGAGGTTTAAACTTCAGGTATAAATAGATTATATTAAAATTGCTTGTGTTGAGTTCTAAATTAAAAATTGATAGAAGTATTATGTTAAGGAAACGGATTAGAAGAGAAATTTAATTAAGAATTTAATATAACTATTGTTTCAACGAGTTTATATAATATTTAACATTTAACATTTCACCAGGAAAATATTGCGAGGAAAATGGAAACTCGTAATGGGAGTAAACTCGTGGAAAGTTATACATACTTTATAGGGAAAACCATTTATCTTCGTCACTTGAATATCAGCTTCATTACTTAGGTTATTAAAAAATTTTCTTGCCAGAGATATTTAAACGTCATTTTCAGTCATTTTTCTTGACTCTATTAAATTTTTAACAATCTCTACGCAACAGTTCCTCAATGTATTTTAATTATTGTTCAAAGAAGATGGAAGGCACTTCAAGTATAAAGAAGTTTCAAAGACTATTCTTATTTAATAACATGGCTTAGAAGGAACGTAATTAAAAGTGATTTCTTCTAAAAGGTGAAAAATATTGAAAATATAAACTTCTATATATTCATAATACAATTTCGATAAATGGATCGAAAAATGGAAAGTATGAATTTTGATCTAGTTTCAAAAATTATTCATATTACAATACATTAAAATATTTTTAATACCTTGGATCAATAATTTATTAGGTTCGTTGATTTGACGTTGTCGCGTGTCGTGCACGTTCCGTAAGAAGCTTTGCCGCTAATAATCAAACACGGTTCGTGGAAATGCAGAGGAATGGCTTAGCATAATCGGTGAGTGTTCGTGGAATAGCAACACGGAGATTTGTTACGCGAGATTAGTATGAGGAATATCATACGGATTACATAAACAACATAATGCCAACTGGAATAATGATTGTTTCAAATTCAGGGGTAAAGAGTATCAAGATTTGCTTAAATTCGCTTTATTACAAATTGCAGTTATTTGTTATTTAAAAAAAAAAATCTTTAAGAATCTTTGCTTCACTTTTTATACATAATTGTTACGCTTCGTTGCAAACATACTTTACCTCGTACACATTGAAAGGAAAATTGATTTTAAAACAGGAAGGAGATTATAGAAAACCAAGAAAATGATTAACGAAGTTTCTTATTACGTTCGACGTCGACATGTTGGTATTTTCTTTAACGCAATATTTTCTAGGTTACGGTATTACTAAGAAAATCGAAGTTTAATAGAGCTTAATTGTTTTATCGTTTTTTGCCTTCATAAAAATATCCTTATAAAAATTTCTTTATTTTTCACGTTCACGAAATTCTACACGACATCAAATTTCGTTTCGATTTTTCTTACATCGATATCTGTATATTCTTTTACTTTTGGCGTCATTTCATAAATTTCAACTTTCTTGGAATTTTATTATTAAAAAAAAATATGTCATCGATAACAGAAACTGAACTTTGCGGATAATTTTAGAAAAATTCGAATTCCACCAATTAATCTCTTTACACAATTATCCATCAATCTTTCGAAAGCAGAATTTAAGAAGAGATCAAGTTTTTCCAAAACATAATTCTTCGTCTATAGAATCGTTCATGCGTACATTCTACGGATCTATACGATCCGTGATGTTTCCCTTTGCGGAGCTTTGGACACCCTATACAACATCGTTTCGTTCTTATCGCCCGCTTAATCCAATATACAGGCTGCCTTGTATTCCGTATCCTCCGTGGATCTTCGAAACTTTCACAGAATAGAAGGGTAAGTATAAGAAGGCTTAGAATCTACCCCATTTTCTTCCTTCGTCACTAAGCCTCCAATGTGACCGAGATCTCTTGAGGATAGATGAAAATACGATGAAATAGGGCTTCATATTGCGATATTTCTTATTTGATATTTGTTAACATTTGTACGAAGAGTTACATTACGGGTTCGATTAAAATAAATGTAAATGAAAGACGCATGGAGATATTTTGCCACTTATCTTCCATCATTCACGTGGATTGTTTAGAGAAATATTTGGAAAAAGTTGATTCGATCAAATATTCTTTATTGATAATCTGATAATAATTCTGTAATATCGAGAATGAATTTTCTATTTATCGTTGCCAGTAAATAAATAAATTTGATATCGATGGATTTGTAATAACAATATTAAAAAAAAGAAATAGAGGTGGCATGATGTGAAAATAATTTAACACAAGATAGACTGTAACAAGGCACGTTGAAATTGAGCATAATTTAATGTCACACCTATTGGACAACACACTGCCGACTTAAACTTGAACATCCTCCGTAATTAATAACTGTTGGGTAATTACGAAAGTAGATGCTACAACTTTTGAGCATTTAAGGTTATTTGGGGATGAACATTTACTGCACTATTCGACACTTTCCTACTTTCATCTCATAATGCCTTCACTTTGCTCGTATACATAAGTATGTACATTGACCTGCATATACCAGGCGCACAGATTGCACTGTAGAGAGAGTGGAAAGTTTGGGGAAAATGGAATGAGAAACCTGCGAATAAAATAATATAAATAGATGATGAAGATGGCAAGAATAGCTTCTCGATGGTTGAGATACGTGTAGAGTTAAGAAAATAAAAGTTATATCCGTTTTAACATCAAATTGGATAAAAATGGAAAAAAATGTCGTCGAACGATCGAAATTTGAAATTTTATTTCAGAAGATAAGGAAGGTGTGTAACATAGAAACAATACCATATACGTTTTAATTTATATACAATGTAGAACGATAGTGATTCGTATAATTATCGTCAAGTTTCCTCAGAAACAAATAATTGATCAAATTAAATATTTAATAGAAATTAAATTCAAGATCATTTTTATTTTTCTAAATATTGGATTTTCATTATAAAATATAATTGATTTATATGCTATGATCTTGAAATAATCTTGAACTTCTAAACTCTTCTATGTATAAAAAAGTATATATTAAAGAAAATAAGACATTTAATATTTATACAGTTTGTAAAAATTATACCATTTACTGGATTACCAAGTTTTCCAACAAAATATCTAATACGTCAAACAACGAATAATTCCAATTATGAAAATGTCAAACGTCCCCTAATTAAAACTTAAAACTAATTGAAAATTGAAGAACGTATCGCGCGTTACGTTTCACGAAAAATTATTAATCCACCAGACACCACGTGGAAAATTACGATATTCCAGCCGCGTTAAGAAGCAGGCCAGCGATAATTTTTCCGCAGGAGCGTGTTTCCTGTTCCCTGCTAGCCCTGTCTGGGGAATATCAACCCCCGTTGGCGGCGGCCTGCAGCACGAGGCACGATGCTTCTTTACGGTTGCAGACTATGCCAGGATCGGCCGAGAGGGATCGTGTGAACCGGCGTCGTTACCATATTACTTTAATAATTCAACGTGACACTTCACCGTGATGTATTTCCATTGGCGTAACGAACGAGGCAGCAGGCTGAAGTTGACGTTGCTGCGAGTCACGGCTAGAATTACTCCGCTCGTCTTCGCGTGCGAAATTCTCAAGCGGTGCGTAAAAAACCTTTGCCTAATAACGAACTTCCTCGAGACGGTTATTTGTACGAGGATACAGGATCGTTTGACTGGTGTTTGTCGAGATAACAGGGTATGTAACGAGGATGCTGGACAAGGTTATCCCTCTGATGGAGGAAAGTTTAATTAATCTGGTGGCGCGAACGTGGGATCTAATTGATCTTTATCTTTGGAAAAATTGTATCGTTGTTTTTTTTTATTCATTTGATATATTTATTTTCAAGATTGTGATTCTTGTGCGATGCAAATGATGGGGGAAACGTGGATTATGTTGGAGATTTATGGATATCGAAGACGGGCATATATATTTATATTTTTCAACTTTCTGATTGTTTCTGCTGGGATTAAGTAAGTGTTGAAATATGGAATTTTCAACGGATTTAAAGCATCGTGAATCCGAGAGAATTAATCTTATCGTGGAAAAGTTTTATCTTATTTCACGTAATATACATGAAAATCATTTCACATTTCTGTTCACCATTCTGCTCGGTTTTATCTAAAAAATGCTCGCATAAAACGAAAATTATTGCTTCCCAAGCTACGCGTTATACAAACGAAACAACTATAATGAAACTATTTTATTCTTGTTTTTACAAGTCACGTTCTTTCAGCGTAATTTTCTATTGTGAAAATGGAGCACCGTAATTTCGAAACTGAAAATGGCTGAAAAGAGCTCTCTAAACGTGATACTTAAAACGTACTGAACGTACTGAACTTAACGCTATAATTGTCTCATTTTCTTAAAAACATTAGGCGATTCCATTAATTACACTTCAAATTAAATATTCTCGATTCAAATACTCTCAAGTTTGTGTTACATTCAAACGTTTGTTATTAATTTCTTCATAATTGTGAAAACATTAAAAAAATATCGAGCCTCGAAACTATCTTAATAAATAATTATCATACATGAAAAATTAAATAATCTTTCTTTCTTACTTTAAAGTTTCGTAGATTGTCCACTATACAGGCTAACAAAGCATCTCGACCTTTGCTCACGGTCACGTTCTGGATTTCCTCAGCGAACCTGGGCAGGTCTGAGTCTGGAAAATAAATTTAAAAAATTTGCTTCTTACATGTTTGTAGAAAATTTAATTATTTCAAAAGATAAAAATATTTAATAATTACTTAGCAAAGAAGAAATTCCGAATGAATCGAACATTCTTTTTTCAATTTATTTTCACTGTTATATTTTAGTATTTAATTTCTTTTCATTCTTTTCTCGTTCATTTACTCTCACGTCACATAAACGTATCATTCTTCGCATTTAATAATTATTACATGAAAATAAATTTCACCACTTCACATATAATATATTATGCATATTTAATTACATTTTCTCTATACAAAATTTTATTACACAAAAATATTTTTATTTCATGAGAAAACAATTAAGTGATTTAATGATTTTTAAATGTGTTTAATTTTTTTTTTTAATTTTTGTTTTTTTTTTCAAAAATAAGTTTAGTCAAGAGTTGTATATATCGAGGTATGCGTGTACTCGATGAATTTTCCAATCTTCAAAACAAGTTTTTCCAATGAAAACATTTTATTTTATATTTTTAGCTTATTTTTGAATATCCATTCGTACCTAGTAACAAAATAATTTAATTGTTAAATTCTCGTGTACTTGACAAACATGATTTTCTCGAAAAAATAATCTACAATGGAAAAAATATTATTGCTTTATTTATTTTACCATTTATTTTTACATTCAAAACCACCTCGTGTAAACGTATAAATTAGAATGATTGAAATTCATGTGTACTTAACAACTTTTCAAATTTTATTTCCATGAAAATAAAGCTTAAAAAATTCTACTATTTCTTCCCGATTTATTTTCAAATATTAAATAATACCCTTTTCGTCCACATTTGTTCAAAAAATTAACCAATTTCATCCATACGTACTCGACAATTTTTTAATTATTTCTTGTTTCCAAAACAAAAAATTCTTCTATGCCTTTTATACCTTTAATACATATCAAATTATCTCGCAATGTTGAAATATTCACGTGGTTGATTTATTCAAAAACAAAGTCTCGTATCAAAACAACGTTTCGTTCAACTGCATGAACTTTGTGAAATGGACCACAGCTCCTCGTCGGGTGCCGTGTATCGTTGGACAATGAGACTGGCCGAGATTCCGAGTTATCGTAAGAGCAGGCATAACGAGTTCAGGATTGAACGTAGGGCCCGTCCTTAAAAGCTTTTACCTTCGTTAATGTCTTTACGACGTCTCGAGCAGCTGAATTATTTATGGCCGCAAAGAGAACCCAATGGAGAACGAGAAATCGTGGTAGACACGACGAAACGAGAGCGAGGGTGAGAATGGATAGAGGGGGTGGATAGGGAGGTTGTGGATAAGAACGAGTTACTTTCAGCTCTTTTCAAACGGACACGAAACGAGGGACGCCGTTAATTACATCTGTCATATTTTATTATGACTGCGGTACACCACGTTAATTATGACACCTGCAACGAGAGTACACCTCGGAAATAAAAAGGAAAAAAAAAAGGAAGAAGGAAAACGAATAATTCGTGTAATTTATGTCGGGCATATGTATGTACAAATTGCGGTGTTATTATCTTCCTTTATGACGCTCCCCCACTGATGAGGTATAAATAGGATTGTCGTTTTAACGAGGGACGATTCCGTTCCTCGAAATCTCGCCTTAGTGAAAAGATCGATATCAGTTGAAATCGATTCATCAGTTTCACAATGAGATCGTTCAAGAAATTATTTTAAGGTCTTGTGATAAATATATCTTGGAATCAAGATTGGAAGTTCTACTTTAATTTGCTTTAATTGATACTAAATTTTTGTTGAACAGATTCTAATATTCAATTCTTTCTAAACAAATAAATAAATTTACTTCTTTTTTTACGTGCATTACGAGAAAAAAAAAATAGAGTTTCAGAGCAAACAATTTACTTAGTTACTTGAAAACTTTATTTGATTTATTATCTTTCTAATTAGACATAGTTTCAAGAGACTTTCGTCTGAGGATAATTAATTCATTTTATCACTTTTTAATTTCTTATTGTTATTCTTTTTATTTAAAAAGAATTTTCTTATTCTTTTTATTTAAAATTCGAAATATTGATACACACGAAATAACGAATTAAAATTAATAGTTTCATTATTTCATTTTATTTATTTAAATGCTGTGTGGAATGCTGTTATCAAGAAATAGTTGATAACGATTATTAATTTGATCGTAAATATCTATAAATATCCATTAAACTTGAAAATGTTTGAAAAAAGAACATTTCAATAATTGAATTTCAAATAACTGAATAATCAATTAACCAGAAATGATTGGATTCTAAACATAAAACGTACAAACCTTATAGCTTCGATTCAATATTTTCTTCCCAATAACAAAATATCCGAATTGACGAAAACGAAGCACCATCGAATTTGCTATTCTTTCGAAAGCATTCTTCATAAAATCAACAGGTTTTCTATTCTAACTGGCACAATGCGCGTACCATTGAGACTTGGAATCGATATTTTCAATTCATCAACGTGGCCACCTCCTGTTTCGTAGATCTCCTTTCGGCCGGTGCATACGCTTTCACGCACATAGGACATTGATACACAGAGTTCTTTCAATCTCGAGAGATGAACAAGTTCATTTGTAATTTCGCGTATGTATTCCGCGCCAAGATTGAAAATCATTTTTCAACCAGGATAAGTGTGCGTGTTTGCGCGCTTAGGGAATGCGAAAGTGAAAAATGAAAGGAAAAAAAAAAAAATGAAAATTCCATTCTTTTGGGATCGAACGTTCTCAAAGGGAACGTTCTCTGTGAGATTATACACTTTTTGATGAGTTTTCAATTTTTCGATAGTAGTTAACGCACGTGAAGTTAAATAAGAATATTTTTAAAATAATTAATTTCGTTACAATTCGTTGAAGCATTGTTTGAATATTCCTCCGTTGAAAATTAATAAAATGAAATATATCTAATATATTGCAATTTTCAGGTACTGGAGGCCATTGAATATTATAGAAGATGATGTTTACACCTCCATCTTAATTATTACTGACACGATTAACTCTATCGATTGGTTATTAACTACAGCTTTATGATAGCAAACTACTTAGCAAGATGACCTATTTGAGTTGGATTAATGACTATCAAGGGAATTGTGCAAGATGATGTACATCAATTTCGGCGAAATTATAGAGAGAAATAGAGAATTAACATTTCCATTTCTCAACTGGTTTTAATTACCATTGATAATACATTTATACGTGCAAGATTTATAATCTCTGTAATCTAAACTATACTTTTGATTCCTTGCTACTAATCTCAACATCAGGAGAGATGTTTTTAATCCATGAGAGAGATGTCGAAGAAAAAGCAGAGAATATGTTGAAAATTATTTCGATAATTATTCGTCTAGTAATATGAGAAGTAGTGTATTTGCAACGAAAATTACAAAGAAGTGTTTCATATTTCCAATTCAATCATTTACATTTAGTCACTATGTTATATTAAATCGAAATGATACAAAGGTTTATGGAAAATCCGAGCTCGATTCGGACTATTAACATTTCTATCCCGTATTATCGAGAAGCCGAAATGTATAATATTTCGAAGCGTGTAATTAAAATCACGGCCATGATAAATTTACACTAAAAGCGTGTCGTTCGACGCTTTCGAAATGTTATTAAAATTACATCAAAATTACGAAAATTGATGTGAAATAAAATATTTCCACTTCTCGTAAACTAACAATTTTTCTCCGCTTAATTGCAATCGCGAAGGCTATGGTGCTCCGTTTAATCCCTTTGTGCCTTCAGCCACAAGGACTGAACAATAAGGTTAAAATATTACGTTACATACACACCAGTGTGCATTATGCAAAGAGGAAGAGAATCACAGAATTGTGGTAATATCACGTTACTGTTCTTCCGTAACGAGTTAATTAAGACAACTGTCGCGAACCTCTCCTACGCTCTGCACCGTTGTACGTATTTTTTCGAAATTGTTGCAGACAGCGCAATTATAAAAACGTGGATCTTATGCGTCTCGCGAGCACCGACCTTTTCAATCCATTGCTCGAATTTAAATAACAAGATCCGTACGTATATATTTCGCAACATTTTACAACAATTCTTTCGTTCGAATCGTCACGCGAAATTCAATGAACAAGCGAATAATCAAAATATCGTGAATGGCCGTTCGATCGTTTCTTATTTGTTAACGACATCGTAATGAAAAAAATCTTGAATCGAGCATCGTTTTTAATAATGATGAAGTCGATTTCAAACTCCCCGAAGGAGGATGAGACTAGATGATAGAAGGATGTGAAAGGAATTACATTATTATATTGAAAGAAAGAGAGAGAGAGAGAGAGAGAGA